AACAAACGACAGGACTACCATATCGTTCGTATCAGACGTTTTCCAGCAGTTGGTCTCCTTTATCGGACTCAGCAATTGGTGGAGCACGGATCTGGCGGCGTGCGGTTGCCGTTCTCCGTTGCGGATGATGAGGCGGACACGCCCCATCATCCGCAACGGACAAGACTGTAAACAGGTGGGTAGGTTGGCCACGGATTTTCTGGAATCCTATAAACACATCGAATACAGTTATTGCGCAGAAATTGCGTAGAAATTGCACCATCCCACTACCTCTGCGTGGGAGCCTAAGCATGGCGCATCCACAAATGAAGCTAATGGGCGCTAAAACACCTACTGCTTGCTCCTATTCCACGAAGGGATGCATTCCAGATGCATTCCTGGATATCCGAATACGCCCACTTGAAACGGTACACAGAAAACGGGTTTTTCGAGCAGCTCGCAGTTCTTCAAAAAATCCCCCAACGCGATTATCTCAAGAATCCCGGGAGAAGAAACAGAAATAGATGAAGCGGTTAATGGGAAGAAGGCATCCTCTATTTGACGCTGGGTCTAGATTTGCAAACAATTAAGTTTTTAGAAGATTATATTTGTTCAAACCAGGACAGTTTGCAACCAATTTCGAAAATCCCCAACCAACCCGCAATGCAGAATCTCTCCCTAAAACATACATTTCAGTACTTTTCGGGAGCTCGAATCATATTATTCACGACTGCGTTTTCTTCTTTCCCAGCGGTCTGCCTTTAAAAACACATTGTACGCTCAACTACAAGACGCGTCCTCGGGGCTAACGAGCCATCAGCTGTCGAAGCGTAGCGGTTTCCCCGTCCGAACATGCGCAGGAATGGGGATCCAGGACCGTGGACGCGCTAACTCCTCCATACTCCGCCTATGCAACTCGCAGCGCAGACTCACGATCCCGTTTATACCGACAGCCGTCCGCCTTGGCTCGAACCCACAAGAGTGAGAGAGAGTACCTGGTATTGCTGGCAAACATACCCACTGCAAAGCATCGATCTCACCAAGTTGGCAACAACAGCGCGTAGCTCTGTCACTGCACCATTGCCGGTACAATGGCCAACAAGAAGGTAGTGTTCGATAGACCCAAGAAAGTGCTATAAAGTAACGAAAGTAATGATGATGATTAGGCATCTATGACGTGTAGTGGACGTATTAGTTCAGCTGTACTGCGCTGTGTAGTAATGCAGCTTTTCAGAGATGTGTTAGGGAGTACCAGAGTTCTTTTCCATGGTGACTCTGAGATTAATCCCATGGCCTTTCGCACCGTAGTATGAACACATGATACTGCACTCACAATGCGCACAAAGGCCGTAACTCGCATTGCAGAGGTTGTCACCTCCGGAAGATCGCAAGATTGCAGGATTCTATGAAGGATTCCTTGCTACAAATTAAGCCGACCGTCCGCGTTTCGCAATTTCGCATTTTCTTCCTCTTGCTCTCCACTTTCGTAAAATTTGAATGTTGGGCTACTATGTAACTAAAAACGGAACCCCAGCAGGTTGATCCTTCATTTGCTACGGGATATACAGCACCGTGCGATCTTGCCACAGTGGGCTGAAACCGTGAACCAGCATGGAGCAACTGGTAGTGGCTGTGTTTCGGTGGTCACGAGTTCGGGTCCTACTCAGCATTAATCCTATCGTTTTTCGGGCTTTATAACATCGCAGCCGTACAATACTCACCAAAATAGGTTTCAGAGTGTTCAATAGTACCTTGAAGCGCATTGTGGCCTGAGGAAACGCTTTATTGTGCGAGCTTCCGCAGCCCTTCCGCAAGTTCACGTGCCAAATCAGTCACATATTTGTGTTCGGCGGCTTAAACTACTTTGAGGGGGTATATTTTGAGGACCCATTTAGCCGGAGTTCGCATCCAATCTCGAAAAACGAGATAGTCACGTACAGATGCATTGGACAGTGTGTGCGGCTCTGAAAAAGATAGTTTCAAAGTGAGGCAACCATTGTCGTGACGCCGAATTTTTCGCATTTGAAATGCTTTCCGTCGTTAATACCACGAGAAACCTAGTGGAACTACTTCCTAAAAACAGCGGCAGGTACTACCATCGCTTCCAATGCAGAATCGATTTCGCTGACGAATTTTGCTGTCGTGATGACACTGGCTCCATTCAGACCATTTCGACCAACGACAGCTCTGAAAAGAAGAAAATGAGAAAAAAAGAAGAATTAATATACAGTCTGTCAGTAGAAAATTATGTATTGCTGACAGAAGTTAAGTTGTTAGCTTGACACAGGTTACTATATTTATATTTACGCGTAGGCAGCCTTCAGACTTCGCGATGACACAGGTCGACACGTTGCAAGACGACGCCCTGCAACGCGCTATAACGCGCCTCGACGCGCGTCAACGTGAAGTCTGAACGCTGCCTTATCCATTTCTGATAAATACATTCAGTCAACTTCAGGCATGGCATCCCACGTGGCACCGTGGAGGCAGAAGGTTAGCGATGTCAAAGTCGTAGTGAGTCATGGGTCTTACGACGGGGGAGAAGAATCAGAAAAAAAAACACAGAGTCCTGCCCTCCCAACCCCCTATTCCTTATATCTCCGTGTTGATTTGCTCCGCTACATGCAGAAATGATTCACAACAGATTACAATATTCAGGCAGGTAATGAAGGTGTAAGGAAGATCATAGTTGAGTACCACCCCCAGATTAAGGCAGGAAATGCTTCAAAGAGGAAAACCGGGTATGTCTAACGAGAGCTGCAGACTCCTACACGAAATCGATTCCGGAGACGAAGAAGTGATCTTGAATTTTATGGCATTTCAGGAGCAGGGCATTGCAAGTTCTGACGGGTGCGGCACAGCGTTCAGGCGTCGCGACAGCGCGTCACCTCAAAAGCTCGTGAGAATTTCAGTATTATTTAAGCTGAACCAAGAATAGACATCTCCTGTCGCGCTCCTGTCTGCGTCCTTTCAGTAGGAGAATTTCCAGCACTGCACTGCTGTTAGGAGTGTCTTGGAAGGTATCGTTAGCTAATATATGGAACAAACTAAAACGGTGAGGGGCTAGCGTAACGGCGAAGAGAGGGGCGGCGTGAACGGCAAAGAGAGGACAGAGAACTCTCTATTTTTATTCTATGACACTGGGCGGTGAAATTTTGTTTCAGGTTCAATTCATTTAAGAATCTTTTAAAATTTTGCAAGAGTTAGTGTCTATGAACCTCTGCAGTGCTTTCGAAGTAAGAAAACAAACGAACTGGTAAGGGTACAGCTGTGTTGCCAAGCGCGGAATCCTTCCTTTTTAGTGGGTTGGAGTCTGTACCTCGTATCTGATACTGAAAAAAAGAGCTGTACTCTCTTCCTTTCGGATTTCGAGCAGCAAATTGCAGATATACTCTGCTGCTGCTTTAAAGACACATGGTACGCTCAAACACATTGAGGGTGTATGAGACTATCAGCCCCCCAGCTGTCGATGTGTCGTGGTCCCCCGCCCAAAACTGCACGGGGTCAGAGTACGGGACCGTGGGAAAGTCGTAATTCCTTGCTACGCCGCCCGTTTTTGCAAACTCACGTTTTTACTAACACCGTCCGCGCGGCGCGGTCGCGTGCAGCTCTTGGCTTTTTGCCAAGTCCTGTAATTGCGCTTTGGAATACAAGTACAACGCAATTTCTTTATGCGGATAACATTTTAGGTTCTGCAAAATAAGAACTGAAGATGATGACGAGGGCTAGAACTCAAGAGCAACTGTGCTGCTTCTGCAACAGCCCTCGCAGGCCGCGCATTCCCACAAAACATCAAAATAAAAACGGCCTAAGCGTCCCACTCGTTAGTTTGAAGTATTTCTATAGCATTAGAGCCGGATTCGAGCCGGATCGCAGAAATGCACACGCGATTTTAATTTATTGCGTTTCCTTAGTTTTTTCAATTTTGTTTTATTTACATCTACATTCGTTGTTCTTCATTTCTAGCCTTTGTCATCTTCATCACCTTCTATTCGGACTTTGAAGCATGAGCAATACCTCAAATGTTAGGAAATTGCGTTTTGCTTGTATTGTCATGTTTTATTGTCATGTTGTCCGTTTTTATTGTCATGTTCTGTGGGAATGCGCGGCCTCTGAGGGATATTGCAGAAGCACCACAGTTGCTCTTGAGTTCTAGCCCTTGTCATCATCGTTCTTATTTTGCAGCACCTAAAATGTTATCCGCATAAAGAAATTGCGTTGTACTTGTATTCCAAAGCGCAATTACAGGACTTGGCAAAAAGCCAAGAGAGCTGCACGCGACCGCGCCGCGCGGATGGTGTTAGCATAAACGTGAGGGCGGTGTAGCAAGGAATTACGACTTTCCCACGGCCCCGTACTCTGACCCCGGTGCAGTTTTGGGCGGGGGGGGGGGGGACAACGACACATCGACAGCTGGAGGGGGGGGGTGATAGTCTCATGGCACCCTCAATGTGTTTGAGCGTACCATGGGTCTTTAAGATAAACTCCCTATCCCTGAGCCAGGGTAGGCGCGGCATTTCAGCATGGCACGGAATTGGAATATTCTAGTCTGGGACAACTGTCATCTTGTTCTGTGTTGGACAGAGACACGAAACAATTGTGTCAAGATGAAAATATCTCACCAGAAGCATAGACACCTTCAGGTTAAGTTGAAGCGCGTAGCCACGCCTACGCGATCTCAGGGGATTCGAGCATACCTCATCGCGTGTGGCCTTGATGGGGCACATAATATTCCATGTGTTCCCTAGTGATCCACCTTGCTTGCCGGCCTGCATAAGTAAAGTTAAAAGCACTGATATAGAGCCGTAGTAGTTCCCATAATTACTTGCGAATTTCAAGTATACAAAATTATTCCAGGTTATTTGTATGACGACGATTTTGGGCGTGAAAGATATACTGCTTTTCGAGACACATTTGTGATAATTTCCTGCGATAAAATACCCAACCAAAATCTGTCAAATTTTCAGCGGAGAATTTCGTAGCGTTCTCGAGAGTACACTACCACAGCCTCTTACTTACAATTAGACGAGCGCTACTAAAGCCTTACCATAGTCTTGTGCTGATGCTTGGCCTTTGGGAGGTTGGTATGAGTCACAGTTCTAAAATATTGCTTTAACAGAAAACGAAAAACATACTCAATATATGTCAGAATATATTATTGAGATATATTTCGACAGCTACAACAGCGGGAAAGAACTTGGAGTAAGCCAGGAACAGTTTTTTTTCCTGCAGTTTTAATCTATTCATTCTCATTTGAACCAAGAGTGTTGGAATAGTATTCAGTATTGTAATGTAACGACATAACAATACTAATAACTTGGCATGGGAGATAATGTTAGGGCAAAAGCCGCCAACTACCACGTGTGGGCTGTAGGCCGGATCGACTTCTGCACAAGACAACCGTGTGCCCATACCTCTCACGCTAGATGAATGGGATGACGCCAGAAGACTGGCGTTGATCTTGGCTCCAGTGACGTCCTACCATTATCACTCGTCTTGCAAATTTTAGTCACGCTTCTAGTGACGGGTTTCAGAGATCAGACGACTCGATCTAGGTTCGGAGATGACACCAGCGCCATTTTACATTTTTTGCAAAGAAGAGACAAAACTCATAAAATGCAAAACGTGTATATTCTAAAGTGCTCGATTATCCCTGTAAGCTGGAGAGGTCTTTTTGTGATGGGAGCCTTGCAGCCTACTTGGCTAGCTACAAAACTCGGGTCAGTGTGGGACTTGAAATTAGCTATAGGGTACCGTACATCGTAAATCAGGCCCTGCCCCAAAGGGACACCTTTGAGAGAATACGAATACTGCTATTTGTAGATTCTGCACATTTTTAGAGAGCCTACACCCATGAAGCCTACATCCAAGCACAGCTTCTCGCGTCACAAACAATAAAATGAACAAGTTTGTAGACAATAAGTAATTACCTTGTCTACAATACACTCTCGTTCATCCGTATCCCGTTCAGGACAGGTGCAGGCAATTTCAGATGAGGTCTTTCCTCCTTCAGTATTCACTCGCTCACAGGATCGACGACGCACTTCTTTACCTGCCTGTAACGTGTATGTGGTAAATTGCTGTCAACTGGTCGAATATAAGAATTTCCGAGTAAAATTCGAAAATTCACCCGACATCCTGAACAGCCACACCACTCGCCCCAATCTGTCCACGCACATGGTGCTCTACGCTCACAAGCGGCGCTACATGGCCGCGTTTCAACAGGTGGACCTTCGCAGCACTGGGCACCTGAACATTCAAAATCACATAACTAGAAGTGTGCAACGCAGCACAGCGACAACCATTGCTGGGAAACATACTCGCGCCGCGCCAAACCAAGCACGCCGCTGACAAGCGCCAACTAATATCAATGATAATGACTGTACACCCTTCCCAATCCCGATAACCACACCTAGAGCACGTCATCGTTGTGATAATCACAACAGGGGGTCGTATTTGACCTCGAAGGAGGGGCGGTCGTGAGCGGGGCCCTTTCTGAAGTGAGGGTGCAGCGATACCCAGTTGTCGTTTAGCTCCAGTGACTTATCCATGTGAAAACATCTGAGGAGACACACACAAGACAGAAGCAACCTGCCAGCACAGAAGTGAGGCCGTGGACTCTTAGAGGGATGCTTGAAAAATGATTTGCGAATGAGCATAATAATTACTGGTAACGGCGTAGTAACATCAAGTCAAACAGACCTCTCTGGTAGAAGTTCGCGCTATGGCGACGTTGCCGTGCATTCACAGGAACTATTGGGGTCATCAAAAGAGGAGCATTCATAGACCCTAAAATTGATAATTTTATACAGGGGAATACAAAGAAGTAATAACATATGCTATGAAATAACTAGAACATTGTCACCCGATCTCCAATTCATACCAGCAGTTCCAGGACTTGATTGGTAGGTGTCTCTTGAACTCGCTACTAAGCCTCCACCTAGTTCATTGCTTCGATAACCGCCCTAAATATTTTCAAATGACGTCCCAGACTCAATCTATCGCGCTGAGGGGGTGTGATTTGTTTTTGTGCCGATGCTAGGCAGCCTTCGCACCTCGTACCGCATCCTAACGCGACTTCCACCCACAACAAGACGAGGATTACTACCTCCGTACCTGAAATGACGATGGTGACCCATCCAACAGACACGTTCTGCTTCGCCTCGATATCGCCTGTGGACCACATCCAGTACACTGAGACCATTCATTCCATGACTCCCACGAACAACATGGGCCTGTGAAGAAACTTTGAAAATGTTCTGAACCCAGCAAAACAAGTGGTATCAAAAAGCAGAACGCTAAAATTAAAATACGCATAGCTCATAGGTACTGTACCGGCATCACAAGGTTTTCTATCCACATCTGAGCCAGTACAGGTCCCACCTCCTTCAATAGTCGTTTTTGCAGGCATAGGCGCTCGCCTAGTTTGCTCAAATACTTCCTGGAAATGCACAACGATCGATTCCCTGTGAAAACTGTTCAATAGTCTGACAAGGCGAATATCCTTATGAGGGTCGGATGTGTGCTATGTGATTTACTTTGCGCAATCCTAGTGGATACGTTGAGTGAAAGCAACATGTACAGCCGTAATTGTACAACTCTCACTTCTGACTGGCAGTTTTACATGCTTTCTCATGGTAGTAATGTTTCTATAAGGGGAAGTCATGAACTGCACGTGAGATGGGCAGTTAGGGAGCTGCAGAACTGTACTGCTTTCGCCACTGCACGCGAAAGCTGGAGGACCGCTGTTGGTGCACTGCCTCTGGCCTCGCACACTACTCGACATCCGGCGCACCACACGTAATAGGCATGCTGATAACACGCTGACTGTGGGAGCTACAACTACCAGGTGCCGAAGTTGAGCTGTAGAGAACGCGCATCAGGTATACGTGAAAGGGCGCAAACGAGTAGCGCGTATGGCTAGCAAGGTTGTTAGGCGAACCTCTTACTTTGTGGTGTGTTTGGTGCCTATGATCTGACAACTTTTCGCCAGATTTGGGAAGCTGTAAGGTAGAGTTAAGGCGCGAATTTGCTCCTGCGAAACCTTCGTTTTCAAGTGACTCCGCCCCCAGACCCGGCCTTCAAAGGCCGCCTCCAGCCAAAGGCGATGTTAGCGGACAGGGAGCATGAAATGGATGCTGTATTGTCTCTTGTGCTTTCATGTCTTCTTAACAAGGAATCAGTCGACTAGATTTTCCCAACTCGCGGTTTTTTGCCTTTCACTCGTACCGTAATTTTGAGGCTGGAGGGGCCTCAAAATGCCTACGCTCCCTGCCGCGGACCTTGCCTTGAAAGACTTTTTTACATCCCCCTGTACGTCACATCACCTCACTTGAGCTTTTGCTAGCCCCTGTTCTCGTCTTACACAGAACCATAGTCGAAAAGAATAATACCGAATGTTATTACCTCAGAAGTACGGTTTTTCGCTGAATTTCGCCCGTCAGATCGGGATCGAGCAATCAGAATGGACTTTGCCTTGTCTAAAATACAATGTTTCAGATATGTAGACTAATGTAGAGGCTGCATAGTATTGCATCGTATTTCTAGACTATATCACGCTCGTTTGAACCGCTCGCTGCTCAAAGTTCTGTTCATCGTCGTATCAAGGGTTAATAATTCCCTATGTTCTGATTCCTACCGGTAATCCGACTTTTAGTTGCGCATGGAATAGCCAGGCGAGATAAGTGTTAAAAAGCGAGACAGGAGGCAAGTCCAATGGCGATAGGCCGAGTGTAGAATGACATAATAAGGAGGTGCCTATATAAAAGAGCTAGATACCTCGTCTGGCATAGAAATTGGATTTGTTCCAATTTTGGGGCAATGTGTGGTGTGGCAGTGAACCTAAACCTCACCAGAATCCATTTCGAACAAGGCTTCATCAAGTTCCTCGAGATTTGGCAAATTCAGTAGGTCATCTGTCACGCACCTGAAACATAACTCACTTTCTCTTCCCGTGTCTAACCAAGGCTGTTCCCTGTGTGACTTACAATGCCCCTACAAGAAGGATTGTGTCATAGCAACTCACCGTCTCCTTCGC